ATGGAAAACGCTGCTACAAATAAAGTGTTTCCTTTAAAAATAACTATTACATATCGCATGCAAAACGCTGCTACAGATAAAATGTTTCCTTTAAAAATAACTATTACATATCGCATGTAAAACGCTGCTACAGATAAAGTGTTTCCTTTAAAAATAACTATTACATATCACGCGTTTTCCATTTTTACAGATAAAGTGTTTCCTCTAAAAATATCTATTACATATCACATGGAAAACGCTGTTACAGATAAAGTGTTTACTTAAAAAAAAACTATTACATATCACATGGAGAATGCTGTTACAGATAAAATGTTTACTTTAAAAAAAACTATTACATATCACATGGAGAATGCTGTTACAGATAAAGTGTTTCCTTTAAAATTCACGACAAAATACCGAGCCTTTATTTTCAAGCACCATATGTAATTTATCGCCATGACAACAATATACTGTATGACAAGAACTTTTTACAACATTGTTTGGATCTGTTTTAACAATTGATTTAGCTACAGTATCTACTAAACTGCTCTTTTTTTAGCCTATGTAAAACTATTGAAGATCCTTACGATTGAAATCAATGTCTTGGAAATGTTGATACTGATGTATGTGAGAAAGGCCCAAGCTCACATCTACATAATTAGAGAGTAAGACTTATCTGTGACTTTTACAACCAACCACTATTTGCAAGCTTATGAATCATTCAGTTATATTATTTAAAGCATATGAATACATGTGTGTATCTTCAGTATATTGTTAATGTACATTTTAGGTATGTTGTATATGTTGTCAGATTACTTTATAATATTACCGTATTTCATTTGACACAACAATGGAAACACATTTATTTCTCCCCCGTCTCTTTTTCTGTCTATCTGATAAAATATAAAACTTGTCAGATAGTTCGAGGATTTAATTTGTTTTTTATCTTTCTTCCTTTTGCAAGGCACCCACCATTGAAGGACAGAATTATAAGCATGTAATGAACGTGCCTTGCTTCATGCTCTATCCTTTGAAAGGTCGGTCCACAGTATATTTGCAAAACATAAAACTCAGAGCTGAGAGGGTTTTGCAAATATAGTAATGAAATCAAACAATCACACGCACATGAACGGCCACTAGCTTGGTGACGAAAGATCAAACAAAGACCCTGTTGTAAACCTCTACCATTGTGTTAAATCTTACTCTACCACGTCGTATTGATCGATTCAGTGGATCTTTGACGGGGGATCTATGAGTATACATCCTGATCTTGTCGTTTCATGGTATGTCATAATCATATTTAATCTTTACAGTATTTACCCTGTATCCATAATAAGTGTTTTAGTATGTAAATGCAGAAAATGAGAGCACTCGAGTGCAAGTGCTGTACTTTTAATCATAGAGAAAGTATTATTAAGCTCGAAATGAGTACGTTATGAGATCTAATTCAATGGGATGCAATATAACAATTTCTGTCATTGAAAACTATAGTATAAAAATGTTTTATTGAGCAAATGTCTCGGATATAATTTTGAATTCTTACTTAATTACTTTTTCCACCAAAAATTATAGAGACAGAAGACACAACGAGTGTGTTTAATATATACCATAATATTTTAGTTACATTTTATACTGCACTGTGCTTTAATACACAAAATGTTGTTTCACTACCCTCTTAAGATATTACTAAAGAATATAGCGTAAACATTTTCGGTAATTAGGTTTAAAATGGGAGCCCTGTTAAACAGAATGCAACTGTAGTGATGTTTTAGATATAAAATGAGGTATGACCATGTTGAAATATAACACAGAGTGGTTTTAGAATATGTCACTATGATGGGTATTAAACAGACTTATGTCATTATGTTGATGTATTACACAATGAGTAGTTTGTATCTCTTGACAGTGAATTAACAAAGAACGATGTATGAGTATGATCTTCTTCAGAAAATTACTGACTAATGCTCTGTCGAAACAACTAGTATGCTCGTCCAAACTAAAACATTTTCATCGTGCTTATAAATCGTTGTTTGTCAACTTACTATTAAATTAGTATAATGTGTTTCCATATACAAGTATCTCATGATGTTTAAACATCAAATATATCCTATATACAAAGAAAGATGTTATCATCTAGAAGTATAATTTACGGAATGCGAGATGAATATATTGAAGTATTCTACATTTTATGGGTTACAACCATATTGAGGTATTAAATACACAATTATTTACTTTCTGAAGGAAATCACTATGTATGTCAATGATATTTGGGTAGTTTTCATTAGTGAGTTCGAAGCCTCGCATGCAGATGTTGCTAGGTTCACATTAAAGTAGTAATATACGCGTGTGATTATATTTTTCTTCCTAGATCAGTTTTTCTGAGTTTACAAGTACAAATACGTATTACTAGATCCCTATCTTGTAGGCTCTTGTAAGTGTCACCAAATCTTTACTTAGGAAATGGACTGTCTATGGTGTCATTAATACCTTTTTCAACAGATGTTAATTACCGTCACTTGTCTTAGTTACATTGAAGACGTTACACTTGAGATATATTTAAGTACATTTTCCAGAAGAAGAGTATCGTTTTATAATATTTTCATACGGATAACCCCGAAACATGAAGTTTATCTCAGATAAAACAAAATGTGTTATCATGTCAACACTATTCTTCATGTAATAGTATTTTCAACTGATTACACTGCCTTGTGGAGTACCATTTGGAGAGGCCCGGTTAGGGCGCTCGACTAGCAATCTCCTCCCACCAAACATGCTCGCCCTTTCAGCCGTGGGGTGTTACAATGTGGCGGTCAGTCCCACTATTCGTTGTTAAAAGATTAGACCATGAGTTGGTGGTGGGTGGTGATGACTA